AATTTTAACAAGTTTAAATTTGAATAAAATATTCCATCTATCAAGCAGAACACTTTCATTATCTCTGCTTTAAGAGAATTTTAGAAATAACAGGGTTTGTACCCCTAACAAGGATTTAAGAATTTAAATCTAGAAGAGATGTTCTATAAACAAATTTTCCTTTTTAAATATCTATTTCATAATCTTGTTTGCAACATGTAAATATGGGCTATTTGTCAAAAATAAAATTTGCAGTTAAAAATGCTGTTAGGCTTAAAATTTTATTTTAAAAAATGAAGCAACATGGTGGTTCTTACTAGCTCAGGATTTACCAAAAATGGTTTTAAAAAATTAGAGTTCAATAAAGAGCATCCAAGATGATTTTGTATTTAAAAAAAAAAAAGGATGTTTTGGCAAAGTTGCCCGTCATGCCTACTATGCAATAAATTAAGTTTAAGTGACATTAAACATCTGGTAGGACTGAAGTGTGCTAATTGCCAGGGTCTTTTGAACCATGTTGCAAATGCTTCTCTGCAAAAACAACCTGTTTTTTTCTGTGACTCGAGACAATGATTTTTCCAATTGTTTTCTTGTTCACTTCTAATACTTTTACACTTCAAAAGGTAATTTGGGGCAAAGAATAAAATAAAATAAAATAAAATCTCTCTCTACATTGCTTGTACAGTTAGTACAGTTGACGGAAAAGGATTGTAACGGGACTTGGCAGATTGTGGCTTACAACCATAATCTTGTTAGCTCATTGCATTACTTACTACGGAACCAGTGTCAGCAGCAAAGCAGCAACACATACTGACATATCTGAGATTGCTAGTGGGAAGGGGAAGCAGGATGGCTTCACCAAAACCCGTTGTCTAAAAGAAACAGCAAGATAAGTCCAGGGAACAGAGAGCTTTGGGTGCCTTTCAGTTACTCTATGTGTTTTGTTTGAAACAATACATCTTTGTTTTTTAAAAAATTGTGGGGAGAGATCAAAGCAGGGTTGTCAAACTTAAGGCCCGTGGGCCAGATCTGGCCCACAGGGTACTTAGACTTGGCCCACAGGGCCACCTCAAAAACAGTGAAGGACCACACGCGGCCCTTCCAAATTCCGTTTTCACTGGAAGAGGATGGCAGGAGGCCGTGGCAGCTGGAAATGGAGCACTGCAGCCTGTTTCCACTGACAGAGCCCTTGGGCCACCACAGGCACCCCTGACAGGAGTGATGGCGAGCTGGCCATGCCCACCCTGGCCCTTCGAGATCTAACACAACCCTGATGCGGTCCTGAATGAAATCGAGTTTGACACCCCTGGGTTAAAGGATGTACATCAGCGTAAACTGGGTTCTGGCCTAGCTTTGCTTTAGTTTTCTTCATCTATTGCCATATATTTTTTATACAGGTAGTCCTTAATTTATGATCACAACTGAGCCCCAAATTTCCATTGTTAAATGAGACACTTGTTAAGTAAGTTTTGCCCCTTTCTTGCCTCAGTTGTTAAGTGAATCACTGCAGTTGATACGTTAGTGACACGGTTGTTAAATGAATCTGGCTTCTCCATTGACTTTGCTTGGCAGAAGGTCACAAAAGGGGATCGCATGGCCCCAGGACAATGCAACTGTCATAAATGTGAGTCGGTTGCCAACTATCTGAATTTTGATCATGTAAACAGGGCAGTGCTGCAGTGGCTATAAATGTGAAAAATAGTCATGTCTCTTTTTTCAGTGCCATTGCAACTTTGGACAGTCACTAAATGAACTGTTGAAAGTCAAGGACTACCTGTATAACATTAGAATATTTTATTTGAGCATGTATACTTTTACAAGGCTCATAACCTACATTTCTTTTTGCTTTAAGATCTGTAGGTTGCCTTGCACTTTATTGTTCACAACCCTTGAAAGAAATTTACTCAGAAAAATGAGAGAAGGTATACATTCATAGGTGTACAATTTAAGAATTCTCTTTAGAAGAAGCCCTGGCAAGGAAGGAAGTTCCTTACATGGAATGATGTTCCTTATATGGAATGACAAATGGACAACCATTTTCCTGAAATAGTATAGGGTTAGACTAGAAGACTTCCAAGGTCCCTTCTAATTCTGTATTCTCTTCTCTTCTGTTCTATTATTTGAAGAGGGAAATGTGTGAATATGTAAGGAATGGTATTTTATAGGAGGGGAAGATTATAATATATATAATCTGTGCTGGATAGAGAGGGTCTCTGCAGCTGCCCATCTAACAGCTTGCTGCTCTTGGATGAAAAATAAGGAACTTAATTCATGCAATTGCCTATTTTCTTGATCCCAGCTCAGAAACAAATTTGGCGAGGAATAAAATATTCCCACAATTTCACGTGCAGCCCACTCTAATCTACGGCAATCATATTGCACAGCTATAACCTATGCAGGAGTGCAGTAGGACCTTTTCAGACAAACAAACTTTATTAAATGTACAAGCTTCATGCATTTTAATCACATTTGCTAGTCTGAAAGGGGGCTACCACCCTGCTCCTGATTTTTGGCTCTCACAGATGAGCACTGCAATAATCTATACAGTGACTTATTATGCATCGTGCTTTCAAACTGGGATGAAGAATGTGACTATAAGCCTCCCTCCCAAAGCCTTCAGGGTATCCTTTGTCATCCACTGAAAAACATGGAGGAAGTCAGCGCAAGTGCTTTATGTTTCTGTGCTTGTCAAGAAAGGGGGTGCAAAGGAAGGAAGGTTAGCTAGCGGAGGGTAACAGGGCTTGGGCCCAACCCAGAGATGATCTTATGCCATCTACTTGGGAGATGGTCTGACCTTCAGCCAATTAGAAAAAAAAAGATACTGAGATATGTGAACATGATCATGAGGCTTGCCAGTCCACACTTTCCCCTCACGGGAAAAAAAATCACACTTCTGAATAGGTATAAAGTATCTTTGCCTCACTCCTGACTATCTGGAAACATGACTGGCCTGGAAGGAAGATCTTCCAGGAAACAGCTAGATTTCAGGTAGAGCTGAGGTTCTGCCTTCCTTCATTCTGGAAATGAAGTAACTGACTCAAAATCTACTCAGGACCCTAAGTTAAACATGGTGTTATACCAAGTAGAGTAGCAGGCAAATCCAGGAAAACTCAGGGTCCAGCAAGCAGCATTTATATATGGCAACTCTCCTTGACAGCAGCCATTTTACAATCTGACATTGAGAAGTTTTTCATGAGACTCCTCGGGCCAAATGAGGATGCGGACAAATTCATGCCCTTTTGTCTCAAAATAGCTGAATTAAATTACTGCTAGCTGATCTCAAAGTGCTAAGCAGGCTTAGAGCTGGTGAATCCTTGATGTAAAATGACCAGGACTGTAACCTAGACTGGAAAATCCTAAAACCATCCTGCAAGGAGACAACAGCAAACCAATTTCATATATTCTTTTGAAGAAAACCACACGGATGTGTCCATGCTCAAACTTTTTATGATCGTGGGCTCCATGTGGCAGACTGGCTGGAGAAGAAGGTTGCAAATACACATACAACATTATCCAGTATACACTCTCCATTCACATACAGACACACAGATACACAGTCATATTCTGCGAATTGCAGCAGAAACAAGGTCATATTTTTTACCACAAACCAATTCAGAGAGTCTGTCTGTTTTCAATTAACCACCATTTATCATCTTGCCGAGAGGCACTAGTTAATCTTAATTGCATTTTATTCAAGCCAGCCAGCTAGATTCAGAATCCATGATTTGAAATTGGGTGGCTAGAATAAGACATAGTTAAGTGAATTTCATATAGGTTCAGAGATAAAACGAATGTTTATCAGTTTAAGTTATTATATCCCGTTTCTCAGAGCTATTCTCGAGGGGGGAAATAATTAAGGTGTGCAAAATTGTGTGGGCCTGAAGTTTATTCTTGGAGCCTATCAAACTTTAACCCAACATCCCAATTCATTGGATTCAACTCCCATAATGCTCAGCCAGCATGGGTCAAAGAGAAAAGGCTATTTTATCTTTCGGTTGATGGCTGTCATCTTACCTCTTATATTTGCCCACTACTTGTTTTAGAAACAAAGGGAGTAATCTTGGAAGAGCAACCAGACAACCCAGCTTTGCATAAAATGAACAGTGCCAGCAGCGGATGTAACTTTCATAATTGTTTTGGCTTAATTATTGTACAAGGTTTTAAAAATGTGTTTATTTCATTATTCCCTGTTTTCTATCATTCTGGGATGGCTTACGTAAAATGTTTTTTTTTATATAAAACAATTAGTTCAAAATCTGGAAAAAAAACCCACAACCCAACCGAATTAAAATAGCAGGAAGCTTTTAAAACCTTACAATAAAAACATTATTTCCCCCTAAAATCCAATTTATGTCCCAGTCTCTGTAAGAATGGGCAGTATAGTATATCTCTTGTCTCAGGATAATAATCCATAAAACTAATAAAGCAGACCATTGCCTGTAAAAATTAGGCTATTTCAAATTTGCTAATTTTAAAGTAGCAGAAGAATATTTGTGGGTTTTACCTAAACTATTCTTTCCCTTTAAAAGTGGATGATTTGAACTAGAGGGGCTCATGGTGATGAGCCTTTTTTATAACGTATTAATACATTTATACTCCCCCCACTCCCCGAAGCAGCTCACAAAACAAAGGGTGATGTTTTATCTTCACAAGACTAGGATGTAAATTGCAGTAAGAAATGGTGACTGGGTGAGGATTATAATTGTCTGCTTGGTCTCATTCCATTGCTTGTCGCTATGTGACACCCATTTTGTCCACACTAGTGTCTCATTTTATTAATGCTTAAAGTACCAACATGAATTCAAACTATAACACGTGGGTGGGTTGGTGAGCGCAGATCCCCTAATGGTCTTTCTGATCATGATATCTTACAAGAGAATTCCCCAAAACAGGCTATGGGGATAAAAACGGTCCTAGTGCACATTACAAGCAGCAGACCAAGGAGCAGCTCAGTTGCAAATTCCAGATGACACGCTCATTATGTATAAACTTCATTTTGTTTTTTTGTTTTTTTTTTCCAGTTGGGAGAAAAACCAAGAATCGTGGAATAATCGGGGTCTTAGTGACCAGCACGAGGTAGGTGCAGGACTACCTGTGGGTACCTTGTAGAACTAATGAAAAATATAGTCCAATAGTTAATCCTGGAAAAACCTTGGCAGATATAGAAAGGAAGAGCTGGGAATGTGAGGATTTAAGGCCGTGGTTTTCAACCCTGCATCTTGAACATGTGTGAACTTCAAGTTGCCGGTGGAAACACTGATTTAGGGATTGCATTTTAAGGAAAAATACTCATTGCCTCACACCACAGTAACCTGATCAAGGTGCAGAAAAGGAAGTGTTGTTCATCGATAATGCCTTCTTCCCTAGTTATTTGCCACGTCTGTGGACTCCAAAGACCTGAAGGAGGATCGCCCAGACTGCTGAACGTGTCACACGGAGTCAGTTCCTCACTCCTGCCATGTTGAAGGAAAGTTACTGGACTTGTCATTGGCACAGCCGCATCTTCTGCCCTCTTCCCAGGCAGACCATTTCAGCCTTTCAAGGGTTCTCGATGAAGCTTCTGCCTCAGCCAAGATAATTTTGCAGCTGTTCTTCCCTGCCTCTGCCATTTGCTGGTGTGTCAACCGCAAAGGTCACCAATCAACATCTACAGCCCATCCAACAGAATCAAAAGTACGCACTGACCCATTCTACCTCTGGGAAATGCCCCTAAATATTGAGCTGATAAACATCTTGTTTATTTTTAAAAAAAGGAGGGTTGGGGGAGAGAGGAAGAGACAAAGTGACACAAAGCACATTCTTTTTGATCCCATTTGTGCAAAGTCCTTGGTTCAGTATTTTCCTTCCCTTCCTGCAAAAATCCTTGACCTTGATGTGTGTGGCATTTCCTGCCTCCCATGCTTAATTTTACCATTCCCACACAGAGACAAGACAGTCCCAGCACCTAGATCAGTGATGGAGAACCTTTTGGGCTTCGTTTGTCCAACATTTGAAAAATGCCTAATTTGACTCTCTAGCCAAACAAAAGAGAAACAATACATACACACACATACACACACAGAGAGAATCCAATCATGTGTGTGATTCCCAGAATCTGCTGCACACTTACCCTCAGGTGGTGTTCTTTTTCTGTGACAGGCCCTTGTGGCAGGTCTGGATCGCCCAAGGCCTTCATTCTTGAAGCGCCTTGGGAGAAGGCTCTTCCACAGCTTCTGCAGCCTCCCAAAACCACAAAAGTGTGTCCATCCTTGTATGATTTTCAGAGGCTCCAGAGACTGCAGAAGTCCACAGCCCTGTCATGTAACTTCTAGAGGGTCCAGAGGCCACATAAGAACACACCCTATTCTCACACTGCCTCCAAAATTTGTGCAAGAATTGGGTGTGCTTTCAAGAATATTGTCAGATGTTTCACCCAAAACATGGTGTGTCACTCTTTACGTGTGTTTCCATAGATTCGCCATCATTGACCTAGAGCAAGGGTCTTCAAACCTGGCAAGTTTAAAACTTGTGGACTTCAACTCCCAGCTTTGCTGGCTGAGGAATTCTGGAAATTGAAGTCCACAAGTCTTAAAAGTTGCCAAGGTTGGAGACTCCTGATCCAGATTAGTCTGCAAAAGTATCACATTTTCACAGAATCTACCTGGGCCTCATTGGGAGTATGTTTTTATCCAATGCTCTTGTATCACCCCATTTGCTTTCTTGTCCACAACTTGGAATACAGGCAGTTGTCGACTTACAACAGTTCACTTAGTGAGCATTCAACATTACAACAGCACTGAAAAAAGTGACTTACGTCCATTTTTCACACTTACAACTGTGGCACCTTCCCCATGGTCATGTGATTTACATTCAGATGCTTGAAAACTAGTTCATATTTATGACGGTTGCAGCATCCCAAGGTCACCTGATCCTATTTTGCGACCTTCTGACAAGCAAAGTCAATGGGGAAAGCCCGATTCACTTAGCAACCATGTTCCTAATTGAAGAACTGCAGTGATTCACTTAACAAATGTGGTAAGAAAAGTCGTGAAACAGGGCAAAACTCACTTTACAAATTTCTCACTTGGCAACATAAATTCTGGTCTCAATTGTGGTCGTAAGTCAAGGACTGCCTGCAGTTCAGCATAAATTGTATCCTCTGCCATGAGTATGGTCGTATTGTGAAGGTATCCAAATTACTCATGCATTTCTTTATATATATATATATATATATACACATTTTGCACACTGCTAAATTGCTTCAATAAGAGTTGAAAGTGGTTTGAGAGAGTATCGCATCTGTTAACAGACATATACGCCAGCTAGCTCACTTTTGTCTCATGCTCTTGTCTCACAAAAAAAACCTGTAAGACCATTTCCTCAGAAGCAACATGAGGTGGAGATATGCAGACCGTAACCACCCAGTGTCACTGGGATAAGAGTCATAATAATAATCGCATGATTTTCTTTCAAACTATCTTCACCTCTGGGAAAGTTGTGTCTTCCCTGTGTGGGTTCTTTGGCCCCAACCACAAAACATAAACACAGGCTAGAGATAGACCAACAAACAGGCCACAAGTAGGTCTTACAACCATTCAGAATTATAACAGCACTGAAAAAAGTGACTTACAACCCGATCCTTACAACCACCGCATCATCCCCACAGTCACGTGATTGAAATCCAGGAGCTTGGCAGATGGCATGTAGGCACAACGGTTGCAGCATCCCAGAGTCCTGTGACAGCAATAGCAGTTAGACTTATATACCGCTTTATAGTGCTTTACAGTGGCTTACAGAGTCAGCATATTTGCCTCCAATAATTTGGGTCCTCATTTTACCCACCTTGGAAGGGTGGGAAGGCTGAGTCAAACCTTGAGCCTGTTGAGATTTGAACTGCCAAACTGCAGGCAGCTGGCAGTCAGCAGAAGTAACCTGCAGTATTGCGCTCTAACCACTGTGCCGCTGTGGCTCAGTGATAACCATTTGTGACCTTCTCAGGGAGCTTCCAACAAGCAGTCCATGGAAGAAGCTGGATTTGCTTAATGACCACACAATTCACCTAATAACTGCAGTGATTTGAAGCTATGGCCAAAAGGTTGTAAAATCTGGCATGATTCGTCTTATTTAACAACAGACATTTTGGTCCCAATTCTGCTCGTAACTACCTGTACTGTGCTGATCCCAAAAGCTATTCAGAATTTAGCCCCAAGGCCCTGCCCTCTCCCCCACTCACTTCCTTCTCCTCCTCTTCCTTTTCTCTGGGGCTTGCAGCAGTAGAGAACGTGGTCACTTACTCCCTCTGCCATTCAGGAGAGGTGGTCTATTGTTACAGGATCAACAACAAGGCACCTGCTATTAGATTGCTCCTTGTTTCTTTCTCTTTTAAAAAAGCAGTAGGGGAAGACTCCCCATTTTCATTTCCACTTTGGGAGGAACACTGTACACTTTCTTCACCCCACAGTTTTCTGATGGAAACTATCAGTTCTGAAAAAAATTACCAGAATCAATCTTTCAGAGCTGTTCTTTGCCTACTGGGTGTCAGAAACATAGGCACAAAAGCCTTTTTCCCCCACCACTCCCCCATCCTCATGTGCAAAATTAACTGCATGAGAAAGGGTAACTTGGATCAGAAAATAATACAACATGAAAACATTGTCAGAAATCTGCCTCTGGCGCAGCTGCTTCAGTCCCAATAGGATTTCATCCTTGTTGCAACTCTTTTAAAATAAATAATAATAATAATAATTAGCATCAAGGAACCCCATCCCCAACTTTCTACATTACTGGGGTTCTCTGGATTCTTTAGCTTCTTTCATTTCGAGATCTAGGATCGTAAGCATAGCTCGGTGGCCCTAAAGCAAATTTTTGCTCCAAAATTTCAACTTTAATCTTTGATTAAAGCACCAGCATCTACTTTGGGGCTTGAAGATTTAACCTGTGATTTGGGGAAACAGCAGCAGCAGCAGGGAAAAAAAAGCACCAGGCACTGTTTGGGGGCCAGATAAATGCCAGCATGTTGTATCAGCAGGAAAACTGTCAGATCTGGCCTGCAAAAATCTGGACAGCAGCAGAATGTGGTCTTTTTAGTTGAAAGAAAAGGAGGAGGAGGAGGAGGAGGAGTGGATAATACCACCCATCTGACAGTTAAATGGAAAGGTTGCACCACTTATCTACAGCCTTCTTCACCTGTGGCTCCACTTCTATATATTGGAACTCTCTGGGTTGGTCTCTGTCGCATACATTTCTTTTTAAAGACCAAAGGGCTGGCTGGAAACCTCCATGCCTGTGGAGCCCATGGTAGCTATATCATCTGTTCCTTCACTGTCTTTTAGGCCAGGGGTCTCCAACCTTGGCAACCTTAAGACTTGTGGACTTCAACTCCCAAAATTCCTCAGCCAGCTTTGCTGGCTGAGGAATTCTGGGAGTTGAAGTCCACAAGTCTTAAGGTTGCTAAGGTTGGAGACCCCTGTTTTAGGCCATAGTCAAGATGCATTCAGGCATCCTGCAGTTAATTGGTCAGAGTGGTTGGTTTCCCAAAATTAAGCAAGGTCAGACCAGATTTGTACTTGGATAGGAGGCCACCAGGATATCTTTCTAGAACGGGGGTCTCCAACCTTAGCCACTTTAAGACTTGTGGACTTCAACTTCAAAAGTTGCAGTCCACAAGTCTAAAAGTAGCCAAGGTTGGAGACCTCTGTTCTGGAAGACAAAACATCTTGGAAGAAGACACTGCCCAAGAAAATCTGTGAAGCTGCCATGAGCTGAGTTTCCGCTAAAGGGAGTCTTTACCTTTCTCCTACCCTGTCAGCCCTCAGTTCAACGCAGGCTTTCTTTCACAGATTTCCTTTAATTCTATACTATTACAGGACATGAAGTGATTAAGAATTACAGTACCGCAAGGAAAAACTGCAGTTGGTTTTATCCCCTGCTTCACCTCAGCCTTACATGCCTTCTGTCATACCTCACACCAAGATAATCTCCTTGCAGAGAAAAAGAAATGATGCCTCTGCTCCTACACAGAATAAATTATTTAAACCTGCTGAGACTCGGAACTGACACACCTCAAATCAACATAAACCAGGGGTCCCCCATACTTGGCCATTTTAAGACTTGTGGACTTCAATTCCCAGAATTCTGGGAGTTGAAGTCCACAAGTCTTAAATTGGCCAAGTTTGGAGACCTCTGACCTAAGCGGTGATCTGAATCCAGACCTGAGGCTCCGTTTCATTTTGTCTAACCACAGTTAGTACAACAAGCCATGGTTGGTGTCTAAGCCATATACATAGTTTATTACAGCTGCTCATAATCTTTTCATTATTATTCTGCAAATCTGTAATATGCCAATTGCCTAGATGTGCTATTTTCATGCTGAAGTCTGCCAAGTAATGTAAACCTGGCCTTTCTTTTTAACAGCCCTACAATTCTCCAATTCATTGTTCATTCTTATTCCTGCCTTTGGGAACAAACTAGCAGTTGAGGCTGGGAGACAGTGAGCTCTAGTTCCACCTTTGGTACAAAACCAGCTGGGGGATCTTAAGCCAGCCACTTCTCACCATCCTGGGAAGTATGCAACGGCAAACCACTTCCAAAATCTTGCCAAGAAAGTTGCAGGGACTAATTCATCGGTTGCCAGGAGGTGCACAAATGCACACGCACACACATGAAGGACCAGTGAATAAAGAAATTGCCATGGCTGTATAAGCAATTTTTTTAAAAATTGCATAGAAAAAGACATGACTTCCACCTGGCAGCTTAGCAGGGTTGGGATTTAACTATATATGTAAATATAGTGCCAATAATCAGCTACACAACTGTAACATTAGAGTGCACGCTTGTTTTGTACTCCTGTTTTACAATTATTACAACTGATGCCCCTCCTTCCCAAGATAGGTCACATTTCCTATAGCCGTTGTCTTTTTAGCTCTAAAAGCAAGAAGGAGAGGGGGGGGTGGATGACACCTCCCCCCCCCCCCATCTAACAAATCTACAGTGAAAAAGTGGCAAGTGTTGTCTTCTGCTACTCCCTTAAATCTTTAGTTTCCTGCCACCCTATAGAAACAGATGACGGTTCTGCTTGGACTCAGGAGAGAAATGCATCATTCACTATTATTAATGATTGCCCTCCCACTCTCTTCCTCCCGCCCGCGCCCCCCCCCCAACCTAAGCCACACACGCCGAAAGCAAAATCCAATCGCGTTGAACAAATCCAATTTGCAGCAGCAGCTAATAGAGTTTGTTGCTGGTTTAAGCGATGGCAGCATCAGAAAGGCTCTGAAAAGCATCTAGGCCTCAGGCCAAGTAGAGAAAGAATGAAGTTGGATACTGAACCATCCACACATATGGGGCTGGGCAAGTTTTCCTTGATTTCCCGCCCACCCCCTCTCTCAACCTTTGACTAGGCTCCAGAAAAACAGAAAATTATCAGGAGAATGATACAATTACATTTCTATGCAGTCTCCTGTTTCGATTAACATTAGACAAAGGCAAAGAGGAAAACTCAAGTG